ATCTTCTAGGAAGCATTAGGAAATTCACCAAGAGAAGCCTGTGCTGTTGTAGCTCCAGTGCCAATGCAATTTTTCCTGCGTGCTGCTCGGAAGTTCCCTTTGTAGTGAGAATATTGCCAAAATCTACATTTGGTGAAAAAGCTGAACAGAAATAAAACCAGGGAAAATTTCCATCTGCATCCACCTGAGATATCTTTTTCTTTGTAAAATGGACCTTTCTCCCTCCTTTCTCCAGTGAGAAGTTCAATTTCAGCCTGAAAGGGAATCTTTCATTTTGTGGCATTTTCAAAAAAAGGTGAAGGAATGAAGATGTGGATGCCCAGAAGTGATCCTCTGATGTCCTCTTGACTGGGTCTACTGGTTAGCTCTATCAGGCATAGCACCTTTCTTTGAGAGGGCCTGAAGCAGTGTTCCCTCTCCTTGCAGTCAGCAGGTATTTTGGGGAGGGAGGAAGGACCATGCAGGAGTGGAAAATGTTCTCCATCATTCCAGTCAGCACTATTCCATCATCATGCAGCATTAGACAGAAGTTTTTATTCCCTGCATTTGAGCTTGTAACCAATAGGTAGGAGATGGAATTCTTTCACCAGTTATCTGAACACTGATTTACCAGTGTTTAAAATTAAGCATATGGAAAGCCTTCTTAAATTAATGAGACTTCTAATAGAGTGCAGGTATACTGTTAATCATCTGCTTAAGCAACCTGTAAGAGTACAGACCCAAAGAACACATTAAGGTTTGCCTAAAGATAAAGGATGATTTATGGAGGATTTGATTTGAAAAGCACATTGAGACTTCTTAAAAGAAAAAAACAACTTTGAAGTATTTCATAGGGAAATAATCCTTTGATTATCACCTCTGGTCTTTACCTGATTCTGGATTATTTGCAAAGGTCCTTCCCTGCTTATTTTATCTGTCTGAGTGGGTTTTTATAAAAACTTCTGGACCCCAGTATTTGTATGTTCCAGAAATACTTTTCACATAGAGCTGAAATGCAGAATCATTACTGTGTACAATGTGTTTTTCAGAGAGTAACATTTAATTTCTATGGCCAGATGTGAAACTCTGAAAAAAAAGGAGGTCGTAATGGATGTACTTGCAGGAACCCCCTTTCTCCCGTAGCTCTAATTGTGCAAATGGCACTGAGATAATACTGTAATTGTTTGTCTTTTCCTTGAAGCCAATATGAAGATTAAAGTACCATCTGGCTTTCTGAAAGCTAAAGTTAGAAAACCTCTAGCTTGAAAGAAACAAGCAGTTGGATCCTTTTTGGGTGGACATTTTAAATGCAATTTAACTTTGCTCATCTCCAGTTAAAATTCTAACCGCAGATCAGCACTCAGAGCTTTTCCCTCTTCATAAGAGTTAGCATCCTAACAGAAATTTTTTGAAGTACCTTTTTCTGGAGGTCTCTGATAACCTTGGGTCTGTTCTTGTATTTATGCTCCAACAGAGTTTAAATACAGAACCTGAAAAGTAAATCTGGTTGGAAAATTTCACAATAAGGGTTGGTTTTGTTCTTTGTGAAATAGCCATTTTTTCAAAAGCATTTTTTTAAAAGTTGCCAGCATTACTAAAACTATACTTTTTGCACATTTATATCAATTTTGGTATGACATTTTGACAAATCTTTTTACTTAGTGTTACTTTTAGGATCTTAAATAATTTCCACAATCATTACAGGGAAAAAAAAAAAAAAAAAAACCACCAACATTTAAAGTCATGCTTCATCTGTGAAATCCATTTTTTCATGAAATATTTAGAAAGTAATTTCAATAAAAATTGACTAATTTATATTAACAAGAAGTTTCACAGAAAAAGAAAAAGAAGCTGTTTCAAGCTCTGTGAAACAAAAACAGTTTCAGGGTTTTGTTGTAAATTAGATTATTTTTTCTTGGTCTTTTTTTGTTACCAGCTTATCTAAAAATTGCAGTTGATAATAAGCACTGAAGATTTCATCATAAAGAATTTGCCAGGGCTGTTAGTGATGAAAATACTGTGTCTAGTTTTTGTTCCAGGCAACATTACCACTATCAGAACCAGAAACCCACTCTCATTTGATTACTGTTGTATAAAATTTAGCCTATAAACAAACACTCCCCCCGCTTTTCCCTCTACCTTCCACCCACCCCGCCAATGTCAAAGCTTCTAAAAAGGATCTCCAAGTCTTAGAGCAAAATATTTTCACTTTTTGATCTGGACATCTTCCTCTTGTCTGGGATCCCTGCATAAAAAAAAGTAAGCAAAATTGCAGGTGATAGGATGGAAAAGTAACAGAGGGCTCAAGAACCAGGTCTTTGCCTGACCAGTGAACTGTTTCAACTGATTAACATCTGTAGCAATAAGAGATATGCTTTTTCCCTATGAGCAGTCCTTTGTACCTCTACTGCACATCTTCTATATGGATCAAAGAAATTTCCCTTGCATTGAACCAAATCTCTTCCTGGGGCTAAGTGGAACAGTGTTGAAAGTTCAAAAGAAAGCTAGAGTAATCATAAAAAAAAAGGAACCTGAATGATAACATGAGTGGTGGTGGTATACTGCCTGGAGGAGTCCTGGGTATGAATTTAGTGAAATCACCACCTGTGTTGCTTCTACAAAGGCAAATAAGGTGCCTGGGCACTTAACAGCATAATAAATTCAAGTAACTGGCTTAGATATAGAGATCTGTCCTGGTTTCAGCTGGGATAGAGTTAATTTTCCTCCTAGTAGCTGGTATAGTGCTGTGTTTTGGATTTAGCATGAGAATAATGTTGATAACACACTGATGTTTTAGTTGTTGCTAAGCAGTGCTTACACTAAGTCAAGGACTTCTTGGCTTCCCGTGCTCTGCCAGGTACACAAGAAGCTGGGAGGGAGCATAGCCAGGACAGCTGACCCAAACTGGCCAACAGGGTATTCCATACCATATGACGTCATGCTCAGTATATAAACTGGGGGGCGTTGGTCAGGAGGCAGCGATCGCTGCTCAGGGACTGGCTGGGCATCGGTCAGTGGGTGGTGAGCAGTTACATCACTTTTTTCCCTGCGTTTTGTTTCTCTCTCTTTTTGTTGTTTTCCTTTTCATTACGATTTATTATTATTACTTTATTTTATTTTATTTTATTTCAATCATTAAACTGTTCTTATCTCAACCCACGAGTTTTCTTACTTTTGCCCTTCTGATTCTCTCCCCGATCCCACCATGGGGGGAGGGTGAGCGAGCAGCTGTATGGTGCTTGGTTGCCGACTGGGGTTAAACCACGACAAAATCAAATATCTCCCTACCTATGCTTCAAGTCAATGGACCTCACATGGACAAACATTTGTGTGGAAGAGGCTGTTTATTAACTGCTGTGGTGGGAGGATGTTAGGTGTTGAACACCCATTAAGGCTGACTTTGTGAGAGACTCTGCCTGGAGTGAGTTAAGTTGGTTTAGATAGTCTTTCTCCTGAAACTTTTTTTGTCCGTTTGCTCTCACTCAAAGAATTCAGTCATTTTGCCCATATCTCAAGCTTTCTATAGAGTCTTTCCCCCTACCCTCAAAGTGAATTTACAAACCACTGGTTTGGTGGTCCAGTAAAAAGGGATTGGCCACAGTGCTCACATACCAGCTTTGACTGGATTATTCAGGCTGGTTAGAAAGCGTAGCTGGTGGACATGGAAGTCAGTTTCAATAAAATGCCTTTCTGGAAATATTTAATATTCAAGATCCAGTCGAGATCCAGTGATATCAGTTGCCTTCTGGGTGAGCTCAAAGTGCCCCTTTGGACCAAGCAAACTTCAAATGGCTTGAGGACTTTCTGAGGAGCAAACCTCACTCTTCCTCTTGTGTTGTCTGACCACCAGTGCTGGGTTAAAAGCACTGAGCCTCGTTGAGACAAAGTGGCCTGATAAAACCCACTGTTGTTAAGCCTGGTACCCCACTATTGTTGCCCCACCACCCCCAGTTATGTTTCATTCGTGCCTTTCTCAGCAGGGAGCTCCTCCACTACTTCCACCAGTCCAGTCCTCAGCCCATACCCATGCATAGACCTAGATGACCCTGACCCTCAGGACGAAGTCAAAGTTACCCCCAAAGTCATCTCATAGCCAAATGTCAGTGCACTCCTCATGCAGCAGTGCAGATGGCTTTGAGGCATTTCTGCTTTTAAAAAAAAAAAGAGAGAGAGATATTTTCTAGCAGGACATTTTCAGTAAAGGCCTCCTGATTCTGTCAATGTATGCAAGCTTTATCTAGGGACACCATGAGGCTGACTTCGGGATTTTGTTCTTTAAAGTTGTGAGCCCCTTTGTTGTCTTTGGACCAGTTTTAAAATTAATATTTAGCAAAGCATGTAGTTATTGCTATGTGCTTCAGTCTTGGCTAGCTGAATTGTGTTTAGCAATGTCTGTAAAATAAAATTCTCACAGCTCAAACTCATTGAGATATTCATGTTTATGCATGAATTTAGGAATGACTACCAGCAAGGCTTGGTTGAATAGTCAGTGTTGAGCAACACTGGAAAACAGCCAAAATATGGGCATCAAACACTGACGTGAATAAATTCAAAGCCATTTCAGAAAATTATCTCTGTAATCATTGTCTCACCTTCACTGACTGTAAAAATGAGAATGGTAATGTTTGCCCACGGCAACTAGTGTTTCGAATATTAATCTATATTTGTAAAGCACTTCAGTGAGGTAAGTTAGTCTTAATTCAGGACACCATTTGACCATGAACATGCAAATACACATAATCCTGTATTTTTACACCTAGCAAAAAGATGGAGTCAAGAAATCTTTTCTTTCTAAAATACATGAACTTGCTTTCATCAGCCAACTCCATAACACACATGTCAGTAGCAAGCTGTGTTGAGATTCCACTTGTCATTTCATTTTGATCTGGACAAGAATATGTTTTTAATATGTCTTGTAATTTCCTTCTAGATAAAACACTCCACCCAAAGCATATAATAATTTCTCCTTTCTATCTGAAGAAAAATGTGCTCTTTTGTTCTTTTCCCCTTTGCCTCCCCAGTGCATAGTTTGGGACTGGGATTCCAACGGAAAGCATGACTTCATTGGAGAATTTAGCTCGACTTTCAAGGAAATGCGAGGAGCTATGGAAGGAAGACAGGTGAGTGGAAACCACCCAAGCAATCTCAATATGTAAGCTTTGTAGAGCAGTGTTCCTCAAACAATCCTGTAATAAAGCAAGTGACATTGCCTCATCGTCTGTCAGAAGTTAGTTGCTGTGTTGATCTCTCCCATAGGTTTTACTGTTATCTGGACATGATAATCTGAAAATGCAAAAAGCAGCCTTTCCTGTACTTCCATGCCTGAAATACTTAGGGTCTTTTTCTAGTTCACATTCTACAGGCATTTCTTTCTGCTAAGATTTATTTCCTTTGAGCCCAAGCACATGGTTTCTCTGAGGTGCTCTGCTGTTACGGCAAAGCAGATGCCCAGTCTGGTCACTCAAAGCATTTCCCTACTGGCCTAACGGCCCTTACTGGGTGAGGGTCATTCTCCGTCTTTCTCCATTTCTCATGTGCTGCATTCACTGCTGCCAGCTCTAACTTGAACCCATCATGATGAAACTAATCAGTTTCCTAAATATCTCATGAATTACAGTCCTAAGGGAAAATGAAATGTTAGCTTATCAATAATTTAACTTCTTTATGTCAGCCTGATCTTTTCAAATTGAAATTGATGGTAATTATTGAATATGATAAATGATTTGGCATCTCTAATTCCAGAAATTGTCATTTCCTATTGTTACTTACTCTTGAAGGTGTTAATTTTGATAAATTCTCGGGGGGGGAGTTAAAAATGTTGACTTTCTAATCTGCTGATAATTTGTATTCACTGCTTCATGGTGATCTCAAAACCAAACATAAATGCCTAATAAGCTTTATTTGGGCTTTATATTAAGGTTCTGTTTATAATGTGTTAATAGAAAGCTAATAAAGAGTCAAAAGGTGTTTAATAAATGGTAAGCAGTCAGGCTATCCATAGGTCAGGAAGATTTTATGATTCTTCTAGATATTTTGTACTGATGTTCTTAGAATAACCTAGAGTTTAACAAATGTTGCTCATGTGTGTAAAATACTCTTGATATATATCAGTCATATATTAACCCATTATAAATAACTTCTGAACAGAACCTGAGTGTAAATGAAACCCTGTTTTGTTCTCTCAAATTAAGTCAGAGGATCAAAACTTAAACCAAACTGAATTTGAGTGGAAATAAAACCTACCTAAAGAGGTAAACAGATTCCAGAGTGAGGAACATTAACAAGGCCAGTGATGTGACAACACTCCAATTTTGTATACAAATACCTGTGGCTGGAAAGGGACTGTGTGAGAGTGGTAAAGGGGGTGTATTTCCAATCTAAATGTCTTCAAAAGAGCATCACAGTCCTTCCCAAACAGACAGCTTGTTGGCCAAGACAAGAGACTTGCAGTCCAGAGTGCTAGGAATGGCTGTGAAGGATAAAATATATATTCTTTCTTATGATGGAGAGACAGTGTGCTCTTTTCATCCTCAGCTAGCGAAAAGGATGGTTACTCTTTCAGAGGCATAAGAAGTTAGTACAGCCATTTGTCAATTCTTGTTCTAGGTTGACACTGCAGTATCAGAGTGCTGTCCAGGAATGTTTTAATGTTGCACAATGCTTTAAGTGCCTGAACCTTTCTCTTTCTAAGGGCCGGCCATTTGCCATTCGGCAGGCTGTCTTTCACCTGTAACATTGCAATCTGCTTTTCACTGCAAAAGTGCAGCTTTTCTCCTCCACTCACCTAAGGCGTTGTGGCATTATTTCTTCCTTGTTGCTCTCATTCTGTTGTTATTGTGCAGTTATTCTGTGGGCTTGCACCTGCAAAACCCAATGCTGTTGTTACAGCCAGTTCTCATGGGACACAATTGCCACCAATGTGAGAATCAGTCCTTCTCCCCCCTCCTCTTTTCTAATCCTTGTTTTATAGACTATTCTAGAGGGAAACAAGATCTAGTGGATAAAGTAGTAGGTAGTCGTCATTCAAGTGGCTAATAAATATTGCCCAATACATGCACATGCTAGATAGCTCTTGCACCTGATCAAAGCAGGCTTCAGCACTAATAGCATGATAGGCAAGAACAAGCAGTAGGGAGTTTGAGCCGATCCTGGTGAAAACCATATAGTTATTATGGAAAAAGTATTGTCATCATGTGTTGTACAGGAGAGGTCGCTTGTGTGGCGGGAGCCAGAGAGCAATTTCCCTTTCCCTTTCTCTCTTTCTCTCCCTCTGTGCCTCCCTCCCTCATCCTCTCTCCTTTTTCTCTATTTTCTCTCTCTCTCTCTCTCTCTGTCCCTCCCTCCCTCATACTATCTCCTTTTTCTCTATTCTTCAGAAATAATTATTGCTGCTAAAGGCAATATATGCCATTAGCTGTGGACCCCATAAATACATCTTAGTGCATAGTTTATCTCAACATCCTTTGTGCAACACTAAGTAATGTGATTAGCATTTGTCAGTTTTTTTCTTTAGTTTTATTCTCCCCAAAGAAGCAGCATGTGCAATGGAGTGTTTACTTTGAATAAAGGGGGTTTAGTAAACCTTGAGGGAATGGCAGAGGAGCAGGAAGACCACATCAGAGAAATGTAATTATGTGTGGGTGAGGAGATGAGTAGACTAGACATAGTCCTTCGTTCCTAGAAGAGACTTTTTCATAGCCTCAGTCCAGAAAATGTTCTGGTTTCCATTTGGTAATCCTTTCAGTCAGAGGAATAAAACTACATCCTTCAGCCCATGGCGTTAAGCATTCTTTCACACAGCATCACAACAGTGAGTGTAGAAGATGAGGACCAAAACCTGGAATTTCATCTGAGATGCTGTGGAGGCCAGTGTGAAGAGCAGAACTCAGGTTTGACATCCCTGTTTGAGTTGCTAAGGAGACACACAGAAACTTTTTAGGTTATATTTCTTTTGTGCAGTAGACTTTATGGCCAGCTACAGTACATTGCTATAGTTCTGTGAAAAGATAATTAAAAGACAATAAAAACACCCTAGTGATTGTCAACCAGGGTTTTTCACTCTCACAAACAACTGGAGAGAATAAGAGGGAACATTTATCATTGATGGGGGATCCAAGAACTCTCCTTAAGTACCAGCTGCAAACCTGTGTATTGTTAAAGGAGGCTACACCAATGGCATGGCTCTCCCTCTCTGCCCATCAGCAATGTCTGTATTAGTTGGTATCAGCTTCACAAGTTTTCATAAAAGCATTAAGCAATAAGGGTGGGAGTAACACAGTAGTTTGTGCTGGTGAGCAGGAAGAACTGTGTGTCATCTGTGAACTGCTAGTACTTCTCACCATTTCGTCAGCTCACCTCATCTCTGGAGGACTTGACAAGGATCTTGAAGTTGCCTTTTAGTTGCCTTGTACATAGTTTGTCCTCCAGAAAGCACAGAGTATTCTGATCCATTCTTCAACCGCCCCCTCTTGGCTACAAAATAAAAGGATCTTGTAGCCAATCTATCAACTGCTACAGAACCACTTGAGATGGTCAGGATGGACGTGTGTCACCTACTTACTTAAAGGAGTTGATGGTGCTTCTAAGACTGTTTCAGTTCCATCCCTGGGCTGCATACTGATTATCCCAAGTTTTGAGTGTCGGCCTCTGATCAGATGAGCTTATATTTGGCTTGCTGGCTTGTCTCCACTGTGAGATTTCTTGGGAATCTGTGTTTGAGACCAGGCATCATTTAGATAAATGGTGTGAATCTAGCACTGGCAGCTTGCTAGTGGTTGAACCAATAATGTGTGAAGGAAGGAGAGAAGATTCCTTCTCTGAATGACTGATCACCTGTTTTGATCAGAATGGCAAGTGTAGTTTATGAATTTCTTCCCAAAATGTGCCAAGTCCTGGATGAGATTCACAGGTCTTGAATTATGACTCTTTCAGAGTGACAGTTGCTTCTCAATGACTGAAAGGACTGAATTCTGAGAAAGTTTGTTGGTCTTTGGTTGGTGGTGCAGGTGAAATTAATTCATGCTGTTTAAGAAGACTTCCTGATCATGAACAACCTCAGAATAATAGCTTGGTGTGTATTTCTGTTCCATAATAACTACCTTGTTGTCACAGACTGTTATATTCTGACACCTAGCCTGTTTTCATACTGACCACCAATAAAAAATGGCACAAAGACATCCTGTTGTTCAAATGCCTATCTGAAGCGGGCATTTCTAAACCTTCTATTTAACATTTTCCATCATTCCAAAATTCATCATTTACTCCTTCACTATAATCTTGACACAAGAAAACACAGTAAGAACAAGTCCATCCTTATTTGTGACTTTTTTTTTTTTTTTTTAGCGAAATACTAGTTAATACTTTGAGTTTATTGTATGCTTAGGATTTGTTCCAAATGTATGTATAATATATATTTTTAATATGTGTGTACAGTGGCAGTTTTATAAGGTGTTCTAATATTAAACTATCAAACATTTGAAAACAAGATTAGAAAAGCTTGATAAAAATTTAAGGACTATTAAAGCTTTTCATAGTTGAAAAGAGAAATCCTCCACTAATTAGAAAAAAGTCACAATGTTTTTTTTTTAAATGGAGGCAATAAAACCAGAGGGATTTGGGGAGAAAAAAGTCATGGAAACATAAACCACCTGGATCCCCATGCAGCACAGGAGTTACGTAAGGGAAAAATCTGTTCCTGTATTACACAGAAATGGACACAAGTTTACGCACACACACACACAAAAGGCAAAGGGGAGGAAGAAACCCTGCTGTACTTAGCACCTCCACTGACATTCCCACAAGTTCAGGGTGTCTTTAGGGGGGCGAGGATGGCTGCTGGGGTGCACAAGATTGGATGGGGTCCTGAGGGGATCTGAGCTGGGTTGCCCCGTTTGTCCAGGTATCTGACTATGATCCTAACTCAGGGCCTTTGCATCAGGTAGCTCTTCAAATAATTGAAACCTTTAAGCCTTTGGTAATGGGCTAAGGAGTTTATTGACACCAGTGGACAATTCCATGTCTGGTTTTATCAGGAGACAGGCAGGTTCATCCAGGACTGTCTGCAACATCAGCAGCTGCTGCTGGCCCCAGACAGGGCAACAGAGGCCCCAGGGGAGGGTGCAGCCATGTCAGGCACCTGCCACATCCGTGTGATTAGGCAACCAGTGGTGCAACCTCAGGAGCGCAGATGAGGCTGGAGGCCTTGGCTGGGGAAACAAGAAACGCTTTGATTTTCACTTTGTTCCCCAGGTGCAAATTTCCAGAGGAAACCTCTGATAGTGGTTAAAAATAGCTCGTCTCCCATGGTGTATGTCTTTCTAGGACAGAAGGAGAAAAACAAAAAAACATTCTGTCCTCTTGCCTCAAGGGATGGCAGGAATAAACTAGCCTTTCGGGCAGGAGGAGTTGCAGTTCGCTTAAAAGTGACTTGCTTTTTTTGAGGCATCAGAAAGGGGTAATGCAGGACATAATGCTGCCTAATATCGATTGGGTTTTTTCACCCTGTCCATTAGACCGTGATGCCTCCTTTGTCATTTACAAACTATGCAGTTTGTTGGACAGCTGTACCTGATGGAACAAGAGAGAAACAAAAGAATTGCAGGGGAGGCAAGAGAACATGCTAATGATAACCCAAGCTTAGCCATAGCTCTCTAGTCCTTTCCTCACAGGACTACCCGATGTCCTGGTGTGCAAGTACAGTGTCCCAGGGAAAGGAACTGCTCTGTACCATGATTTCTCTTGCCTTAGTGTATGTGAAACTCTCGTGACACGTTCATTTCTTTCTCTGAATAGCTTGCTCTATTGGTAGCCACATACTGTTCAAATTTCGGTTCTACAATGGTTGCCTACACTTAGTCACCTCCACTTCCCTTTGCTAGTGTGTGGCACGGGTGGCTGCACCGTTTGCTCTCTCTTCTGAAGGTTTGGTAAGAGAAGGGATAGGGATGTTTGGGACGGCAGCATCCTTCACTGTAGAGAGTAACATCTCCCATTGAGGGATCTGTGTCTCCTCATTACAGCAAGGAAAGGATTACGACCTTGACAAGTGTCAGCATTAGTTTGCTGACTTTCATTGACGAATAAGTGGATGGAGTTTGTTTTACATTCAGAAATTCTCCACACAGTGGTTTAAATTTCAGGGTATGAAAGAAATACCAAAGCGGTATAGTCTGGGCATTCATTACCAATATTTGCAACAATACTTGAATGAACAGGACATAGTTAAAACCAGGTTGCTTTCTGTTTCAGATTCA